GCAGATAGGAAAAGACTAAGAAAAATGGCAGCAGCAACGCCGCCACCGCCTTCATCCCCTGCTGCCATTCCTGAGACTGTCGTTCCAGAAACCGTCGCCGCCCACTGGAACCGCCTCTGCTCGCCACCGCAATCTCACCAGAGGCCACCATCACCGCCAGTGAGGCTCACTGGGAGAACCCTGTAAGTTGCTCCTTTCTTTTACATTTTCAGTAGTTCTCTCAAAGCATGTCTATTGTGGATTGGGGTGGCAAATTTGGATGTTAGCTGTTCACGATTGTCTGATTGTACATGGTATAGGTATTAATTGAGTTGAAATTTCTGGTTTTTCTGTTAGTTTTGGGGCCAACCGAGACCTCATCTGAGTAAGGAATTGCTGAAATTTCCATGCCCATTTAGTGTTTGATAAAATGCCTAACCGAAAGTCCTGCTTGAAAATGATTTTGCTGCACTTTGTAAAACAGCCAACTATTTGGAGTTTTCGTACGATTCAGTACCTGATGTTTGTATACGGGAAACAAAACTTGATGTTTCATGTTTGGGCCGTGATTATTGAAGTGTACAGTTTGTTAAGGGATGCTGAGTGATGGATTAGATGGTTTTGTATTTAAAGATTTGCATAAGAGTTCTGCATCAGAATTGCAGAAAATGTTTTGATGCTTGCTGTGTCCATTTTGTTTTCTCTCGTGTGTTTATGTGCACCTATGGCTGTCTCCTTGCATTCTTTGTTGCAGCATTTCCTTTGCTTGTTCAAGTTTAGGCCCTTAAGATTCTCAGAACCAGGAATTGTGTATTGCAAATTGCCTACGGATTGTCCACAATTTTGAACATACATGTTCTACGTGCTTGATTGGATTGAACTTCCTTGGTTTTTTGACAAATTTTTGGGGCTTAGTCACACTTCAATTCGAACAAAAATCTGGTGAAATTTTAATGCTTGTTTCCTATTCGATGAAGTACTTGTTTGAAAATTTAATTGAAAGGTAGTTTATCTGCATTTACGAGTGGGGGAAAACAAATGGTCAGTGAAGTTCCATGCCTGTCCGAATAATTGATTCTCATGAAAAAGTAAAGTTCGAAGAGTTTCGTTTTCTTAGATTTCCTTTTTGCATGAACCTGATTTAAAGGCATGAATCTTGTGACATTTTGTTTGGCTCCTGGGCTTTTTATCATGATTGCTGTCTTAATGTCTCGCTGGTTGCTGTTTGTTGGGTTGACGAAATTCTGATTGTTAGGTTTTAGCGATAAGAGGTGTAAGTCTCGCATTCCGCCAGCTTGGGGGTTGGTTGATATGATTAAAAAAAATTTTTTTCATGAAACCCAGCATGCGAGAACCTAGTAGAAGCAATAAAAGATGTTTTCTAGTCTTTGCAAATCTGTTTGGGAGGGGGGATGTCGAATCTTTGTTCTCGTGTCATTGCCTGATCTTTGTTGAGTTGCGTTTGTGGGATTCGTTGACAGGTTTGCAGGTTTCATTTGAGTTAATATTCATGGCTGATTTCCCGTGTATATGGAAGCCGAAAATTGCTCGAAGTCAACCCATGAATGCATTCGAATTTGCTAGTTTTCTTAACTTAGATTTCCGCTGTTTGCATGTTAACCTTGTGCTTGAAAAGGGTGTATGGAATTTGAAGCTCTGTTTCATATTTCCATAAGCTGCTTGGGTTACTAAATGGGTCTTTGCAAAGGATTAAATGCTTGCCTTCTCATTACCTGTGTTCCCTTCTGTCTGGGTGAGCCAGAGTTCACTGGCTTAGTTCTTGTTTTGTCGTCCCAGCTATGAGGTCAGCATGGTGTGTTGCTCACTCTTTTCCCTTAGTTAAGCCGTGGGACACAAACCAAGAGGATAACTCAAAGTTGTAGGAGCTTTTCTTGGAACCAGATGGACATGTTCTTTCTGTTTGAATTTTGGTGTTTGAATGTAGAATTTCATGACCAAAAAATGAGAAATGTTTGACAATCTTTTACTCTGATCTAAGTTTGTTCGTCAAGCTGTTGGTTGAGTTGGTTTGGAAAAGAGATTGTATTCGAATAACTCAGAAACAAGTTTTCTCGGATTGTGGCAGCAAAGTCTCTTCCTAGCATTTACATAAAGTTTGCTTGGAAATCTTGTTCAGGATTTGCATGATTTCTGTTCTAAGATTTGTTTGTTTGGATATCCAAGTTACGTGTTCTGTTGCTTGATTTGAATCTTGGATGTTGGGTTGAGAAAGTTTAATTGAAGTTTGTGTTAGATTTAGAAGGCCATGTTAAAAGATGAAATTGCAGCAAGTTGAAGTGCAGAAGCTTTCTCCGTAGCTTGCATGAAATAACTCTTTGGAAATTGCACTTTGGCCCTCAAGTCTCCATTTGTTTTACTGTGGCCCAAGAAACTTTCAACTTCTTTCAATTGGGTCCTTAATTTAATTGCAAAGAAATCCCTAAAACTTTATTTTTTCTTTAATTTTGACCCCCAAAGCTTTTGTTAATTTTTGCAATCAAGTCCTTTCTTCTTTTGACTTCTTAAATGTGGGTTTTTATATGATTTAATTGATTCAATTTCACAATTCATTTTATCTTTTATGATTACACTACAAGAAATTTGGTCATCAGTGACAACAACATGTCATCACAAGACCTAGAAATGTCGTCACTAATGACTTTTATTGACGACTTTTGAATCGTCACAGAGTCGTCACTATACCTCCGTCGGTGAAAGTATATAGTGACAACACAAAAAGTCGTCAGTGAATGGTTGTCATTAGTGACAACAATGTGAAAGAGTTTTATTGACGACTTAGCGTGTTGTCAGAGATGTATTGATCAGGGTTGTCACTGAAAAGTGTCAGAAGGTGTCACTTATATGATCTACTTATTGACAACATTTGTTGTCACAATTGAAGTTTGGAGTTAGTGACACGCTTTGTTGTCACAAAACGTTTTTTATTCTTGTTCTGTAATAGCTTTTTTTGTCATTAGTGATCTTCAACATTGTCAGTTCCATTTCAATAAACTCACAATTTAGCATGCTAAATTATTTATCTAAAATAAATAGAAAGAAGTAACTTAAACAATTGATAATCAAAAGTAGTTGTTGCATTGGGCTACATGCCAATATAGCATATTAAGTACTCAAATGTCACATCACAAAAGTAACACTGTGCCCAAATATCACAAATTCATAAGGTACGTTTACAAAAGGAATTAAGTTCAAGAAACCAAAAAATATCCAAGTGAACCCTTGCATGAGCAAATTGCGACTTTGTCTTTAACGTCCTTCAGTCTTTGCTACGGACAGCTCCCAAAATTTTGTTTAAATAGCATTTATCTGTAATCAAGTAGTAAAACAAGTAGATAAGAGGAGGATTAAAACACTGAAGGAGAAGTAACAATACTTAGGTTGCTTGGCTAAAATATGCAGTCCAATAAGAACCTCAATAATTAAAGCTGTACATTAAAAATCAGCCAAAAAAAAAAAACCAAAATCAGTCCCAGAAAATCAAAATCAGCCCCGAACTATTGCACAAAATCAGCTCAAGAAATAAGTACTGCTATGAACAATATAACCAGTTGATAAGACTACAAGCACAACACTAAAGGAAAAGCAACTTTGATTCGCTTGCTTAGCTAAACATTCAAATAAACTAAACTGAATTGAAGTAATGTCAATCACGATACAAGGTGTCGAGCTACCCATTCATATCGGAGAAACTGAGGCAATGTGTACCTCATTTATATAAGAGAAACTGATGCAATGCGTATCGTGAGAAAGATGTCTATGGGTTGCTCAATTTTTACAACGCATTTCTCCAAACCACTAGAGGATGAATACATGGAGTGGTACTGCATAAACAATATTAACATTATCAAAATCCATATGCCCAAATTACTCCAATCACAATAATAACTAAAAGCTACTGAAAAGCATTGGCATTGCCGTGTAAATGCTTGTTAAAGCAGTAAATACTGTAAATTGCAAGACTTAATAGCTACCATCCAAGGTCAGAACTCATCACTATCCTAGCTTGTGCTCAAACACATTACCTCAATAAACACTTCAATATTTCAAAACAACATATGCTAAGCTTAGAGAGCACAAATTTCTGTAATGAAAGATCCAAAGTTCAAAACTTTCAAAGTTAAATAAGAGAACTTTAAAAGCAGCAAATTAAAGAAAAACAATTAAGTCACCTCTTCGATAATCTTCGTTTCCACTCTATCTTTAACACTCCCTCCTAGCTTCAAGAATTCAGTATTGCTTAAAATCTAACAAAGTAAATACTCGTCATCAATTCAAGTAAATAATAAGATGAGCACCCTGTCCACCATTTTACTCGTCATCAATCAGGTACATTTATTTTTCAAGAAAGAAAAACAAGCACCCTGTCCTCTTCACGATATCCTATTTTATGCCCTAAGGTAGAATCCTCTGAAAACCATTGCAAATTACACTTCAAATCACAAACTACTCCAAGTATAAACTACTTCACCATACTTAAGTAACCAAAACTGAATTGCATGGAGAAATAAAAGATAATTAAGGTAAGAACATATATGATAATTTGACCCAAAAATCACAGGAATTAGTTAGCTTAGAGATCGCCTACAACTTGTTTATATGCAATGTCTCCTAGATAAAAGTGAAAATTGTCAATTTTACAAAAACTTTGTTAACAAGGCCCTGGTGTTTGAAACAAGTATAACATAGATGGCAAAGAGTATATATTCACCCAAAAACCATCACATAATTGGAAATTCCATAGCAAGGACCAATAGCATCAGCAGAATAAGCTGCAAGACAATAACAAACCAATGAAGTCCCAATAAAACGATACTATGCATTATAAGCTTGAAGACAATAGATAAAATGGTAGATGTAGTTCTTATAAGAAAAATGTTTGCAAATAAAACATGTGTTTCCTTCTTTTAATTTTGATACTGACCTGTACTTGTTTTACAATTGAGTAGGATTGTTTTACATCCATTGTTAATTTTACATTTCTTTTCCTATGTGTTTTTTTTTAGCAAATAGTTAATTATCTAGAATTAATGGAGATGTGCAAAAGTACACCTTGAAAAGTTGATGCAATGTCAAAGTTTGTTACAAAGAAATGTTTGGTTGCCGAAGAAATTAAACGCTCCAATCACCTTCCCAAGTCGAATATGACATCACATCTCTTCTTCCGTTGTTTTTTCCCATATTCTTTTTCAGGAGGGGGAGTAATCTTCCAAAAATGAATCCAATCATTGAATGATCATGTTCATTAAAGGAACCAGTCCAATCCAATAAAAGAGCAAAGTCTATAGCTTGATTCTACTCTCTTGAAAGGTGCCTTTCCTCAGTTGGCATACACAATCAACCTTACTCTAGCAGTAACTTCAGGATGAAGCTTCAATTCTGCAATGTATTCCCCTGTTTCCCGGATCTCTGGAACAGATACTATCCTTTTGTCCACATCCCTCTGTGTCTGCGCCTTGATTATATCAACAAGATCCTGTGCAGTAACGCTTCCAAAAATTTGTTTTCCCTTGCCACCTTTTCGCTTTACTTTGAAAGCTCCAACAGTTTCAAAAATTAGAGCAAGCTGTTGTGCCTCTTCTCTCACCCTCTTTTTCTCAGCCTCAATTCTCTCCTCTTCCATCTTCATTTCCTTGAGAAGTAGGGGTGTTGTGAAGACCCGAAAAATTTCTTATTTTATCGAATATTAATGGTTTAATTAAGTATTTATCCACCTGTTTTCCCCAAATAATTTATTACGACCATTTTAAATCCATTCGTATGGAATAATGTCTTCATTATGTTTTTAAAATGTCTTGTTAACAACTTCAATTTTCGGAAGGATTGGTTAGGCGAGAAATAGTGAACACGAGTGTTTCGAGGTGATATTATATTCGAAAGTATGATTATCCTGGGAAATTAAGAACGGACAATAGCAGATTAAGAAAAGTTAATCGAGAATTAAAGGTGAATAAGTTTTAAGTGAGCATATACTACTCACGCGTGGATAGTTTTCCAAAAGATGTATGGATACAATTATTGGAGATTTGAGGAGTTAATACTCGACTCATGTGAGGACTCGTAAAAACTATTATTTTATTTAAACCTAAATTTATGGCTTAATAAATTATTTAATTGGATTTTTGCCACGAGAAATATTTTCTAGACTTATTAGACCTAAATACATGATAATATAACTTCGTTATATTTTAAAAGTGACTCGTTTCAAAAATTAATTTCTTGGAGTGCGTTTAGTAAAAATAGTGAATAGTGCTTGGAGATTTTACCGCGTAGAAACACAATAAGTTTGGAATATTGGAAACTTGTACTGTGGTTCTAAAATAGGTAATATTATGAATAAATACTCACGTGATAGTTAGTAGTACAATCGTTATAAGAATTTCTCGAAGGTTTCGCGTTATAGCGTTAAAATTGACGGTACGCGTTTTCACACGCGCGACTTCATTTGAGGGACTTTAGACCCTTATTTCGGGACAATTAAGAGTGAAGAATATTTACATGAATATATATGCATTAGAGGCTTAGTGCACTAGTGAACCAAACGCGCGAGAAAATCGAGCCTAAAACGTGCCAAACGAGCCTTAATGAGAGTTGACTTTGGGGATAATTTGCACCACACATTGTGTCTTCCTTAAGAAGCTAAATTTGGACCAAACACTCTCTCTCTTAGTCTCTCTCTTGGCCGAATTCTCTGCAGCAAAAACACAACACAAAGTTGCCATTTTCATCTTCAATTCTTGCAAAAACCTTCATAGATTCACACCAAATTTGAACTACACTTAGCTTGTTGCTTGGAGAGTTCATCTAGCTAGCAAAAGGAGGAGTTTTTCACGGTTTCTTGGAGCACTAGAGGACCGAAAATTTCTGGTTTAAGACACCAAGGAGGTATAACATCATCCTACACCTTAAACTTGGATTATGATGGTAGAAATGCATCTTTAAGCTATTGCATGTGTATGGGTGTCTTGACATTGGTGTAAAATTTGAAAAGTGGGCTCTATGGATTCCCACACTTGGGTTGTTGCTGATTTGATGATTGATGGTGGTTATATTGTTGGTTTAGTGGTTAAAATGATGGATTAGTGGTGGGTAATTGATAGAAACTTCATTGGGTGCAAGAAGCAAAAATTTCCGAAAATACCCCTGTTTTGTTCGGCCACTATAAGGCCAATTTTTGGTGAATTATTGGCATGAACCTGATGCTTATATGTTATATTAGATGTGTGAAAAGTTTCATTGAAAAATAATAAGGTTTGGTTGGGCAAATGAATTTTTTTTGGGAAACTAGCAAATCTGGAAACTGTTCCCGTATGGCTCAGACCAGCTGTGGTATTTCGACTATAACTCTGTCCTCGGATGTCGAAATCATGTGCCGTCAGTGGCGTTTGAAACTAGACATCCCAGGCTTTAATTTGAGATAAAATGCATGTTCTGATTCTTTGTGAGTGAGCCGGACCAAACGTTTTAAGATCACTGTCCTGTTTCTCGGAACTGCTGGAATGGTCTGTAGAGGCAGCAACTTGAGGCTCAATTTCGAGCTGGTTGCTTGCCAAATTTTGAAACGATTTCTTCTGTGAACTTTTAGTCCTATGAATGTATTTTCCAACGCCATAAACCACGCTCAATTCCAAGCTAAATTGACTGAGTTGTGACCAAAATAAGAGGACTGCCCTGTTTTGGAAAAACGTATTATTTGGACTGGTTTCGGACAAAAACCCGTGAGTAATCTTATTAATTGAAATTTTGATGCTAAACCATTACCAAAGGTATCATGGTTGTATCTTAGACCTTTATTTCACAAATGAACCATGGTTGGATAGCTTTCTTGGTTAAACGATTTGAATTTGGAAAATGAAAGTCAAAAGGCAGATTGCCTTAGGAATTTTCCGGAACTTTGGGTGATTAGTTCACCACCTTCCCGAGGGTATTTTTCCCTGAAATTTGACAGAGAGATACCTTCCATATAGTATCGAAATACTGCCAATTTTGGTATCAATCCAAGTTCGTTTCGATACCTAATTAAATTTCTAGTGTTGGAGGTTCAAATCTGGAAATTCTTCTCCAGTCTTGAATTTGCCTAACTTTGAGCTACCGTATCTCGGTACTCGAAACTCCGATTCTTGATCCGGTTGTTTTGTTATAAACTTCACTTGTAACACTACTTGAGTGACAAATTTCAGAGGCTGGTTTGCAACGTGCGAATCGTGCCGAATTTTCAAAGTTGGCCAAAATCCAACTTCATTCTGCCTTGTGAACCAATTCTGTACCTTCAAGCTCATTTTTGAGCACTTTCCACTTCGATTCATGAAAAAGTGTCTTCTAGGAACTTATAGTACTTTCTAAGAGGTTTCCAACGGTATAAAGTTTTCCAATTCTCGACTTGTACCGAGTGAGTTACGATTTTTCAAAGATTCATAACAAAACTGAATTTTTCAAATTTCAAGGCAAAGGAGTTTTCCAAAAACTCTTAATTCTCTTAGTAATATTCAAACGTTTTGCCCTCGATTTTCATGATAAAAACTCAATTAATATTGTACTTAATAAAACGCAAGTTGAACCTCGATTTACGAGTAATTGAGGTTCATTTTTGTGAAATATTCCTTAGATTGTACTAATGTACAATCTTACTTGATAATTGAGATACTTGAGTAATTATCCACCATTAACTGCCAGGCACACAAGGAGACCTTCAAGAGGATCTCACCGTGGACACTTGAACTCCAGCGAATAATCTTTATTGATTAGCTCGGTGAGTGTCAAGTGTGTGAATCTTTGATACTTGCTTAATTGTGGTAATTATTAGAGATTTTAAAAATAAGGGCGGGTGTGTACTTTATCGCATCCGTCCTGATTTCAAATGAATGAATGAAATGTATTGAATGAATGAATGAAATGCAATGCTATGTAATGGTTACATATGTCGTTGGAGTGAACCTCCTCGACTTTCAAATGAATGGGGGACGCCCAAACTCATAGGCCGACCTTGAACTCGAGCCGGCAATGGGCTTGGTCGGGAACTTGGGCGAGCCATGAGATTATAAGCTCGACCTAATAAGAGGTCTTGCTTGGCATACTCGTCGAGTATCGCCCTAAAAATAGACTTGTGGGCCCTTGGGGTGTACGGTGGACGGAGGGAAGTAAGTGGTGATCTACGGAAATGGAAATACCGACCCGGTTGACAGGAGGGTCAATGCGGGAAGGTATACGAATGACAACGGCAGAGCGAGTGGAACTTAGCTCCTGAGAGCTACTATATCCTTGAATTGTTTCTGATTATTTTCCTGCTCAAATGGTACTTTATTGAAATATCACGGTTTTAGTTAATAAAGTTGAGATTGCTATTTGAACAATGTGCTTGCATGTGTGTCCTTGGCCTCACGAGCGTTTTGCTCACCCTGTAGATTTGTTTTCCTTAACAGGACTGGAAATGGAGTTAACGCGGAGAAATCTCCTTTTGGATATATTGTGTTTTAGGGTTTCAAGTGTATTTTGGCTCGACCCCTTTATGATTGTACTTTTGGAAGTTTAATGTATCATTCGGATATATGGGGTGTATATTTTGGAATTTAAGTTGTATTATGAACGCACGACGTGCGGGTGGCAAGCTGATAGGTACCTTGTGGTGTGACCCCTGAGAACTGTATGGATATTGTTAAGCATGAACGTTTCCGCACTATATGTATTTGCACTAATTTGATTGTGGTATCTAGTATCGCTGTAAGCTTGAACGTTTTTTGCTTGAGTCCTGGCGAGAGCTAGGCAGGCGTTCCGCGGATACCCTTTGGTGCGCCTTAGGGAGAAGTGGGGGCGTCACAGTTGGTATCAGAGCTTAGGCTTTAGATCTCTGTAGTGTATCTTAGGCTTAAATGTTTAGGATGCCGGACTGTGGAATTTGATTGAAAGTTAAGTGACTGCTTGTGAAAATGAAAAATTAGAACCTAAGTTCGAATTAGTGGATGACAAGGAGTCTTGATATGGTGTGATACATGTGGGATAGTATGAAGTGATCAAATCTTGTTTATTTCGTGTATCTGGACCTACCTAAGCTTTTACTCTTAAGTGTAAACTACAGAAGGTAATGGTGATATTAAATTGTCTCGGGGGCGCCTTCCGGTGGTCCACTATCGAGAGAGTGAACTAAAAGAGCATTGGAGAAATGGTCCGATTTACTGGACTAGGACTTCATGTGAATTCCAAAGGACTTGCCCGAGCCCAAATAGTGGGGTGTTAATAGTGGTCGATCATTTGAAGTGGCTATCCGAAGAAAATGGAGTGATTCGAAGGGATGATCGAGAACTGAGGACAATTGCGGATGCCTAGACTACTAGAATTCCTGAAATTGAAGTTGAAGTACTTCTGGAGCGAGGGAGACAAAGGCTCTTAGTGAGAAGCTTTAAAAGCTAAGAACCGACTTGTTAGGTTAGTGCCGAAATTAAAGACAGAATGGATGAGTCGGTGGCTAGGTGTGTTACCTTGGTTGAATGAGTGGAGAATGACAAGATATTTGATAAGGGACATGAGATCTAAAACTCCTAGTGCTGGAAATGAAACTGATCCTAGGGAGGTAGTGAAGACTTTTGGGTTCTGCCAATCACTAATTTAGCGATTTAAACTATTTTAATAGTTTTGCCAAAGATAGACAGGGTGACGCTCGCTTAAAGGCCGTTGTATTTTGTATCTTGTTTCAATATGTTTCTACCTTTTAAGGCAATTAAACATTTCTCATGACATGTTTAACCTTACTACTTTATGATTTCAAATCCATGATTGGGGTTATACGTATTTACGATTATCTCAGCGTTTTCCCTTTTATTCTCATATTTGTTTAGCATGATCAAAGTCTCACTTTCAAACTTCGTTTGGGTGCGTTCATTTCATACCATGTTTATATGACTGTTAAAGTTACGAGTGACCAAATAAGCAAAAAGGGATTGAGGGCGAGGGGGTTAGACCACCCCAAGCTCCAGGGGATAGTTAGGGAACGATTGCTGGATTGAACCGAAACCCTAGAAATAAAGGAGAACACTTACATAGCTCCTACTATTGGCCATACGACTGATATCCTAGAACAGTTGGTTGAGTACCAAAGCTCCGGACCAATAAGCCAACCTAAGGACCAGGAGAGGTGTGAAAATGAAATGATTCTTGGAGGTCGTCTATCTAGGTTTCACAGGGGACCTAACCTTGAAACAGTAAGATTGATTTGAAAAGATACATAAGGCACTAATGGGACTGCGAGATTTTGATCTCTTTTCGAACAAACTTCATAGACAAATATCGAAGATTGAAGTAAGACACGAAAAACTTTATATCAAGGAATAGAGTCCCCGTATCTGGTTGTAATTGGAATTAATGGTAGTAATTTTATGGAGACTTAAGAACTCACCCATGTTCGGCAGAGAATAACTAAGATTTATATTTCGGGGTGACCTATAAACAAAAGAATGAAAGAGTAATCTGGCTCGAACTTCCATTATGCATGGCTACTCTTTTGATCCTTCGATTTGCCTGACAGGTTAGCATTTGACTTAAGCCAACTGGTAAGATGACAACTTTGGAAGAAATGCGTAAGGAATTGAACCTTCTTCGAAACGAGGTAGAATTTCAAAGGAAATTAGCTGACTACTGGGAAAAACGGTGGAAACAAGAATATGCAGAGAAAATTGAATTACTACGCCAAAATGTAGGATTAGAGAAGAAATGCAAAGAAAAGCCTCGAACTGGCCAAGCCGCCACTTCTCATGCACATTGTGGATACTGCGGCAAGGTTAACCACGTTGAGGCCGAGTGTTGGATGAAACAAGGAAAGTGTTTGGGGTGCGGTAGTACCAAGCATAGGATTTCAGATTGCCCTAAAACTTTTAAAAAGAGGAAGTACTCAATAGCCAACTAGGTCCACCGCAAAGCGATCAAGTGCCAGATGGGAGTAATTAGTACTAATGGCTATGAACGGGGTCCTAGTAGTGAAGGTTTCACAGATTGAGATGGTTTGACTTCACTCGAGGAATAGAGGTTGTAGTTTTACCCTAGACTAGGCTAGCACCTTTGGAGGTTGTGATCTTTTGAAAAGAGAAAAAGTCTTTTGTTGTTTTGTATCCTGGAAACTTGACATGTTTTGCTACAATCCTGTCGTTTCTCCTTTCCTTTTTGAGAGGAGTCCATAAACCTCTTCCAACTGGATGTAATTATTATGATCTTTATGACTCATGAAAATTTACTTCGCTTTTAATTGTTTTTATGACCTACACGTATGTTTAAATCCTGTTCCATGCCCTTAGAATTATAATAAGACACGAAAGGTATTGGATGTGATCGAGATTTTTCTTGAGAATATAGACCACCTGAGGTCTTGATAGTGACTAGAGATCGGGATCGAAGTGAGGACTTAGTGTTGAAATGGAATTCAAGGATTGAAATGCCAATTTGAGATATTAAAATCGGTGGATGTGAGTTAGTGAAAGGAAATAATTAATGGATTCAATGTGCATAACGATTAAGGACTAGATATCGTATTTGGAATGAAGGCTAGAAGCTATGTATTGATAGATTATGGAGTCTGGAGCGATGTGACCATTAAGAGCAACCACCATTTTTCTTACATGGATAAGAATTCAATAATTTGTAAGGAGCCGTGATCCTATTTAAGTTGGATTTAAAGAAGAGATATTACCCATTTGGGAACCCTAGGAACTAATGTGGTTAATACCACTTTCAAATTAAGACATGGACACTCTAAAATTTTCGGTACACCCTTCGAGTTGACAGATGCACTAGAAGTATTTATGGACCCAAGGTATCGGAGTTAAACCGTATTTGGACAAATCAGTGGAGGCATTTATTGATGATATATCGATATACTCTAGTGTTGAGAAGGTCATGAAAGACACTTGATGGTAATTTTACGAACCTCGAGAGAACGCCAACTTTTGTTAAGTTCAATAACTGTGAGTTCGATTGGAAGAAATAATCTTTCTACGTTATACAGTATCTAAGGAAGGAATTATTATTGACTCAGCTAAAATGAAAGATTGTATAAGAGGAAACGACCAGAAAAGCATATTGAAATTTGGAATTCTCGGAGTTAGTCGAATACTACCTTTGGTTTATCAAGGATTTTTGTAAGAGTGCAAGACTTGGCAAACCATTTGAGGTTCTAAATATAAGGAAAAATCTTGAGATGAAGAATGTTAATTGGTGTATAGGTGTAGGGGGTAATCTTGTGCTTTTTACAGATGACTCAAAGGATGGTTTAGAAGGTATATTAATAAAACATGAAAAGGTGTTTGTATATGCCTCTAGGAAGTTAAAATATTACGAGATGAAGTAGCCAACTCCTGATTGGGAGTAAATAACTACAATATTTGCTTTAAAGAAGTTAAGATATTGCCTATATGAGGTAGACATGAGGCCGATTAAGTTGCTCTATGACTCGGAAGTTGAAACGCCTAAAAAAAAAAAAAAGGGGGGTTTGATTGCTAGTCGAAAGAATGGAATCTGTCTTGCATAAGTTGGAAGAACGTAAGTTGGTGATCGATCTGATAGGCTTAACCATGAGGGGAATGATATTTCCTCAGGTGTGAATTTCGAGGACGAAATTCTGTTAAGGAGGGGAGGATGTGAAGACCCGAAAAATTTCTTATTTTATCGAATATTAATGGTTTAATTAAGTATTTATCCACCTGTTTTCCCCAAATAATTTATTACGACCATTTTAAATCCATTCGTATGGAATAATGTCTTCATTATGTTTTTAAAATGTCCTGTTAACAACTTCAATTTTCGGAAGGATTGGTTAGGCGAGAAATAGTGAACACGAGTGTTTCGAGGTGATATTATATTCGAAAGTATGATTATCCTGGGAAATTAAGAACGGACAATAGCAGATTAAGAAAAGTTAATCGAGAATTAAAGGTGAATAAGTTCTAAGTGAGCATATACTACTCACGCGTGGATAGTTTTCCAAAAGATGTATGGATACAATTATTGGAGATTTGAGGAGTTAATACTCGACTCATGTGAGGACTCGTAAAAACTATTATTTTATTTAAACCTAAATTTATGGCTTAATAAATTATTTAATTGGATTTTTGCCACGAGAAATATTTTCTAGACTTATTAGACCTAAATACATGATAATATAACTTCGTTATATTTTAAAAGTGACTCGTTTCAAAAATTAATTTCTTGGAGTGCGTTTAGTAAAAATAGTGAATAGTGCTTGGAGATTTTACCGCGTAGAAACACAATAAGTTTGGAATATTGGAAACTTGTACTGTGGTTCTAAAATAGGTAATATTATGAATAAATACTCACGTGATAGTTAGTAGTACAATCGTTATAAGAATCTCTCGAAGGTTTCGCGTTATAGCGTTAAAATTGACGGTACGCGTTTTCACACGCGCGACTTCATTTGAGGGACTTTAGACCCTTATTTCGGGACAATTAAGAGTGAAGAATATTTACATGAATATATATGCATTAGAGGCTTAGTGCACAAGTGAACCAAACGCGCGAGAAAATCGAGCCTAAAACGTGCCAAACGAGCCTTAATGAGAGTTGACTTTGGGGATAATTTGCACCACACATTGTGTCTTCCTTAAGAAGCTAAATTTGGACCAAACACTCTCTCTCTTAGTCTCTCTCTTGGCCGAATTCTCTGCAGCAAAAACACAACACAAAGTTGCCATTTTCATCTTCAATTCTTGCAAAAACCTTCATAGATTCACACCAAATTTGAACTACACTTAGCTTGTTGCTTGGAGAGTTCATCTAGCTAGCAAAAGGAGGAGTTTTTCACGGTTTCTTGGAGCACTAGAGGACCGAAAATTTCTGGTTTAAGACACCAAGGAGGTATAACATCATCCTACACCTTAAACTTGGATTATGATGGTAGAAATGCATCTTTAAGCTATTGCATGTGTATGGGTGTCTTGACATTGGTGTAAAATTTGAAAAGTGGGCTCTATGGATTCCCACACTTGGGTTGTTGCTGATTTGATGATTGATGGTGGTTATATTGTTGGTTTAGTGGTTAAAATGATGGATTAGTGGTGGGTAATTGATAGAAACTTCATTGGGTGCAAGAAGCAAAAATTTCCGAAAATACCCCTGTTTTGTTCGGCCACTATAAGGCCAATTTTTGGTGAATTATTGGCATGAACCTGATGCTTATATGTTATATTAGATGTGTGAAAAGTTTCATTGAAAAATAATAAGGTTTGGTTGGGCAAATGAATTTTTTTTGGGAAACTAGCAAATCTGGAAACTGTTCCCGTATGGCTCAGACCAGCTGTGGTATTTCGACTATAACTCTGTCCTCGGATGTCGAAATCATGTGCCGTCAGTGGCGTTTGAAACTAGACATCCCAGGCTTTAATTTGAGATAAAATGCATGTTCTGATTCTTTGTGAGTGAGCCGGACCAAACGTTTTAAGATCACTGTCCTGTTTCTCGGAACTGCTGGAATGGTCTGTAGAGGCAGCAACTTGAGGCTCAATTTCGAGCTGGTTGCTTGCCAAATTTTGAACGATTTCTTCTGTGAACTTTTAGTCCTATGAATGTATTTTCCAACGCCATAAACCACGCTCAATTCCAAGCTAAATTGACTGAGTTGTGACCAAAATAAGAGGACTGCCCTGTTTTGGAAAAACGTATTATTTGGACTGGTTTCGGACAAAAACCCGTGAGTAATCTTATTAATTGAAATTTTGATGCTAAACCATTACCAAAGGTATCATGGTTGTATCTTAGACCTTTATTTCACAAATGAACCATGGTTGGATAGCTTTCTTGGTTAAACGATTTGAATTTGGAAAATGAAAGTCAAAAGGCAGATTGCCTTAGGAATTTTCCGGAACTTTGGGTGATTAGTTCACCACCTTCCCGAGGGTATTTTTCCCTGAAATTTGACAGAGAGATACCTTCCATATAGTATCGAAATACTGCCAATTTTGGTATCAATCCAAGTTCGTTTCGATACCTAATTAAATTTCTAGTGTTGGAGGTTCAAATCTGGAAATTCTTCTCCAGTCTTGAATTTGCCTAACTTTGAGCTACCGTATCTCGGTACTCGAAACTCCGATTCTTGATTCGGTTGTTTTGTTATAAACTTCACTTGTAACACTACTTGAGTGACAAATTTCAGAGGCTGGTTTGCAACGTGCGAATCGTGCCGAATTTTCAAAGTTGGCCAAAATCCAACTTCATTCTGCCTTGTGAACCAATTCTGTACCTTCAAGCTCATTTTTGAGCACTTTCCACTTCGATTCATGAAAAAGTGTCTTCTAGGAACTTATAGTACTTTCTAAGAGGTTTCCAACGGTATAAAGTTTTCCAATTCTCGACTTGTACCGAGTGAGTTACGATTTTTCAAAGATTCATAACAAAACTG